ATAATGGCCAGAATCCATTGAAAACGCTTTTCCAGAATTATTCCGTTTTGAGTGTAATGGCAAAACTGAAGCGGCGGCTTATGATCTGCTATGCGAAGTACGACTTTGGTCGGTTCCCTTCAGCCAACATCCGATACTAGCTCACCCTCTCTCTGGGGTTTTGGTTGTGGCAGAGTCTCTACTGATCGGCATTGTGAACTGCACCGGAAATCTTCGTTATCATGAACACTACCTTCTTGGTGCTCGTTCTGGTCGTCATTCTTATTGCCGTCAAGACTAAAAGGGGTTTGTAGAAATGGCTCGTTAAATAGGTCAAAAGTTAATCATTCGCAGTATGGTATGTCTAAATATTTCAGTCTTTTCCTTTCATATCGTCAACACCAAATGGACCACATTATTTTTGACTAGTTCTTAAGAGGAGTCCGAGAGAAGAGTTCCACCATCTCTTCAATATTTTTATGGTATATCTCTGTAACATCGTATTTTACCTTCCTTTGTACCTTTCATTAAATAAATGCATTTCGTATTATACGAACCCGTATTTGTGATGTCTGACAAAAATGTGTGAGTGACGTCAGCGATTAGAACGAGGTCTGGTGAGGAGCAGGCTACTAATGCATCGAATAAAATGACATCCCTAACATTGCAAATGCTGAAATGCAATTGAGTCATGGTCCGCATTAATGCCAATTTGATACTAGTATAGTTTTCAGCGTGAAAAAGATTAACCAGGAAATAATCTTGCTGTTACTCCTATTTAATCTCTATTTTAATGTGTCCTAAATATATGTGATGCTGTCTTAATAATAAGTCGTTTGTTTCCTAGGTGACGGAACTATCTTGACCTTGAAACATGAGTTTATATTCTTTGAAAACTGAATTTCGTATCGCAGTGCAGAGAGCAGTCCAGAGTCTGTCCGAAGCGGAAGTGAAGCGGCAGAGTGAAGTTGTCATACAGAAGGTAACAGATTTAATTTCTTTCACGATGGTGGCCATTAGTACGACGGGTGAGTGACGTAAGGCAACACAACAAGTCTTACACACGTTAGGTACGGTTTTCTTGAAAGTGGCTGAAGCATCATTGCAAAATTCAGTGTATTCTGTGTGCTGGGTTTCTTTTTTGGGGCCAGCGCGCTTGTGGCGCAATGGCATAGTGACCTAGAGGTCGGTCTCGAACTCCGGATGTCGTCTTCGTATCCTCAAAGGTCCAAATTTGTCTTAACCGCAAATTTCTTCGAGCAGGACATTGACTCCATCTTGCTTCGCTGCAACCAGCGAAGAAACGGATAACAACTCCCTGATTTACGATCATCAGGGGCAGGGTGGTGTTCCTGTGTAGTCATACCAGAATGGTCGAGAGATGCTGTCTAAAGCAGGAACCTCATAGGGCTGCAATTAGCCTATGTTCAGTATGATGATTAGCAGGTGCAACCCTCGTTTTTGTTGAGCAGCCTAATTACAGGTGTTCACTATTAAATAGGCGACTACTGAATCATTGATGGAACAGTTCTTCGCAAAATTCAGGCCCACTTCTATCTTGTTCATCTCTCCTACAGTCTGGGTTCCTGACCGAGACCTACTGAGTTTCGATTCCCGGAATGTTTAACTGAACAAA